AACAAGCTTTTAAAACACGACAAGGGCTTCTTCCGCCGACAGAATAAATTGTCCACACAATTTATTCTTGACGTTGGAGAACAAGAAGAAGTCATTGGGTGTCAAATCAGGATTGTACAGCGAATGGCCCATCAATTCGATTTCGATGAATGTTCAAATGTTATTATTGCTATTATATTATTGAAGGTTCGGTTGTTAGACGAGATGTGTGAGCAGTCACATTGCCTTAATGGAGATGGAGAATGAGCCGACGGCGCTTGTTTGTTTTTTGTTTTTCACTTAAAACTTTCGGTAAACGGTAAACAAATGATTGTATACTGTTCGAAATTGACCGTTTTACGTTTCTGTAATGGTTTAGTTTTCCCGGAAAAACAAGTGACCATTTGTTTTGAAGTGCTTCGAGTGCAACAAATTTTGTGTTGGATTTGATTAATCTTGAAACACCTACCCAGTTGAAGTCAATTCGTCACCTGTTACAATCTTATATACCTGTATCTCTTTTAAAGCACCGCCATTGTACTTTTTGATATGTCTGTACCAATCGACTTGTGCATCTTTTTGAAATTTTGTCAAATAATGAGGGATCTAATGAGAGCAAACTTTTCTCACAACTGAATGATCGTGCAGATCTGAGGTCAATTATTGCTTAGTCTAATGAAGTGATAAACAAAAATCCAGTCAAGGCGCAAAGAGGGGTTTTGTAGAAACGTCGCAGTTAATAGAGAGTAAAAGTGCTCAGGTGCACTGACTCAACTCAACTAGCCTCAACATAGTAGTAGTATATTATATATGCTGCCGAAACTAATGCCTAGGGTTCTACCTCATCTTCAATCTCACAGTACGATTTTGCATTACTCGCATAAATTTTTGCACAGTGTCAATGTTTTCTGACACAACAACTGATTTTGGACGACCTTCACGAATTTCGTCCGTGAGCGAACTGCGGTAACGATTAAAATTATTGTACCAGCGTTTCACAGTGGCAAAGGATGAACATTTGGCTTCATCGAAAAGTATGTTTTGTTATCCACGTTGAAAGTCATATTAAATTTTCGCAAAATTTTTTTCTCGCATTAATTCCATTTTTTCGCGAACTTAATTAAAAATCACTGTAAATAACACAAATAGTGCTACCAAGGCTCAAAATATAAATAGTCACCCTCGTAAAAGTAATCTCATAGTTTCGCGTTTGTGGTCTGTTACTGAAGAGTTGATCGCGCTTTTTTCCACTTTTTTTCATTGCAATTTATAAAGTTTAACATTGTCATTTAAGTTTAATATTATCAATTATTGAAGAGCAAATTGGAAAATAAAAATAAAGTGCTAAAAATACCAACAAAAATAGAAAATGGTTTAAAAATGACAATTAAAATTTTTAAAATTTTTCTACCTGCGAAACAAACTAAATATAAAAACCGATACGATTTAAGTTAAACTATTTTATCTTCGGTATATAAATATGTTATATAAAATTTAAATAATTTTTAAAAAATTGCATTTTATTGAATTTAAGCAAATATGAAACGTTTATCATTTCCAAAGAGGATTTTATTTAATATTTGTGCTCTATGAACAAATATATATATTTATTTAATATGAAATTTCATGTTCACAGATTGCAAATAAGCAAACGCAGTCAACATAAACGAAAATTAAATACAAATAAAAATAAATATTTGTTACGAATTATTATATATAAAATATTTGACTCCTTTGCTGGCAAAGCCTTTGTGCCACAAGTAGATTTCAAGTACATCAATTTTACTGACTGATTTAGCCTTCTGCACAAGTTAAGGAGACAGACATCTATCTGTACAGACAAGAAGACGTGAAAACGTTTAGAGTGAAGAAATTTCAAGCTCAGCATTTGCAAGATTTCTATTTGCATAATTTTATATTTGTATGTGCAATGAAATGAGCATACTCAAAGTATCTTTGCGTAATGGGTTATTTATGTATCTATGCCTATATACACCGAACTCCTGCATGAACATTCCAAATATGTGTTTACATGTGAACAAACTATTTGCATTTTGTTACCATACCATTACCAGGCAGGTAGGCAGGCAGGCAGGCACGTTGATGATGATAAATAGCAACAAAAATTTTATTTGAATTTCAAATAAGTTCTCTTTCTCCTTTAACATTGCCAAAATGCTTCACATAAAATAAAAATATTTTATGGCCAAGAGAAGTAGGCTAAGATTTACGATTAAATGTGGTTTATGATTTTTACAAAAATTATATCCGCATAATTTAATCACTACACTATTTTGATAGGCTAAATAGCTTGAAACTAACTTTTATGGTAATTGGCAGTAAAAGGTGAATATTTGAATAAAATACCTGAATTTTAGATACATATCTTTAGACCCTGAGCTAAAATTTCTTGTTTGAAGAACTAACATTCTATTAGACATATATCTTAAAGTTAATGTAGTATGAATTGTTGAAGTATTAAAGCTATTTTATAGCTAATTAAAGCACATTTTTTGATTGTGGATGATACTTATTAATACTCATTTGTTTAGTTGAAAATCGTTCCAAAATTACATGTTTTCAGTTTACGTGTATTTATCTTGCACTCTGACATAAATACACAATTGAATGCCGAAATGACAAGATTGTTGGACATAAATTAAATGCAACATTCTGCATTACACGGAACAACATTTAATGTTTAATTCAACAGAATGGATATGTTACGAAAATTAATTTATGTATTGCCATGGATATGCAAATGTTAACTAACACGAATGCATAAATATTCGGTATTTATTAATATTTCGTTGGTGTGCACACATGCGAAATTTTTTGATACATAAAATTACATTTTTGTGGCGTTAAAATGAATTCCAGGATTTTAATTAATTTTTCAAAATTATATTGAAGTCTCTTTAATAAAATACTGAATAAACATTTTTTAAAAGAATTTTATTTATATGAGTAAATTGTCAACAAAGCTGTTTAACTTTGTCAAAGGAAAAAAGCAGATATATGCTTTTTTGCTTAAAGGGTATTGAAAATTAAAATAAAATATTGAAAAATAAAAAATTTATTAAAATTAAAAGGAAAATTAATATTTTTTTTTCACTTAAACGTTGTTAATTTTGTTAGCTTTAAGGTATTGATAGAATTCAAAAATTTGCAAATAATTCTATATTTATAAAATATAGACTTATGTTTAATTTTATGTTAAATTTAGAACATAGAATTTATAATTTACTAAGTTTTGAATTTACTGAACTTTAGTGAAAAGGTGCAGAAAGCCACAGACAACAGAACTCGAATTGCAGTGGTAATGAAAAAACTTAAGAAGCCTTATAAGCTTCTACTTAATATACTAACGCCGTGTGTGAGTTCGAGTAAATTGATGGTAAATTGAGGGTAATAATAAATTATGTTGGTATGGCAGTGAATGTTGGTATTTACCAAAATTTCGAGTAGGTAAAATTAGGTGTTACCATTGTGATAATTTTATAAGATGTTTAATAAATAAATCGACAGAGCTGTATGGTCAGCCAAAAATTTGATTAATTAAAATAATATAAAAATGAATTTTTGTCGTTGTAATTCACTACTGTTCGAAAAAACCTCTTTATAAATAAATAAATAAATTTGAAAACTTTCAATAAAAATAATAAATAAGTGAAATAAATAAATCAATAAATATTTACATAAATGCAGTGCAAAAAATTCCTAAGAAATTTCAATTTACTTAACTTCAATTTAGTCGAAATCGCACACGGCCTAAATGTATTTCAGAAACTTTCTCTTTAAAAGTGTTTGGAAAGCCACAAAAGTACCATATTTGTAAAACTTGGTCTGCTTTCTTCAAAAGGCTTTATAAAATCATAATTAAATGACAGATTTACTAAAAAAATTCATGTAGTAGTTTAGACACTGACAACTTGATTACTCTGTTAATGATTTTTTATCTGGTAGGCTAATCACTTTTATATCGAAGTTTAATAATTCATATCTATTAAAATAAAGTTGACTTTGTTTATTTAATAAAATAATTTGATTTATTTGACAAAAAAAAATTTGATCAGATGGATTTAGTGAAAAAACAACTTATATTCTTTCTGATATTGTGTTTTGTGGGAAAAATTTAAAGAATCCAAAAATTAGTTTGAATTAGTACAACTTGTTTTTGTACACATATATAATTATATACAATAAAAATAAAAAAAAATAATGTAATAAAAAAAAACAAAAATGTAATAAAAGCAGTTATTAGATTTGGAGTGAAGAAAATCCAAATTTAATCCCGAAAGATGCAGTTTTTCGTATCATGTTTTAAATAGAGCTAAGAACCATAATTAATTTTTTTACATGTAGGTGAACATGCTCTGATCGGTTCAGTTTTAATGAAACTGTGCTTAATGCCATTTTATCAAAAAAAATTTTCCATTTGTTAAAGCGATAACTCGATTTACCGATCCCAGAGCATTTGTTGTGAAAGTATTTGAAATCATTGGTCTATGCGACAAAGACAGAAACAATTCCAGTCTTAAAAGCAAATATAAGGCATGCCACTCAGAAGATACTCTGGAATACAGTTTTTGAAAAATAATTTGATAAAAAAATACAAAGGTTATCTTTTTTTTTTAAAAAAATAGCAATAAAGATATGCCTAAAAATTATGGTAACTTATTAAATATTACATATTAATTGTGATTTCTAGGTATTCTCTATATTAATCGATTCTTAAAAATACTAAGTACTAAAATATGAAAATTGTATTATCACTATTATACAATAATTTTTATTACATCCATATTTCGACTTTAGTCTAATGCGTTTCTTGGCGATGACTTAAGACTTAAGTCGAAATATCGATGAAATAAATATTATTGTAAAATAAATGGTCTTTTTTTTCTTAATTTTTACCAATTAACCTGCAAAAACACTTTATTAATTTATTTTTTATAACATAATTCACACATATATTTTGAAGAACATAGGCCCAAATATTTATCTCTAATTATCATTATTTAAAACATATTTTAAAATATTTAGACACAAAAAATTCACTTTAATGAATTCATTTTATTTTTGCATGAAAACATATCCATCATTTTGCACGACATATTGCAGTCCTGTAACAGCACTCAGGATATGTCTTCCTGTAGTCCCAACCTATATATTTACAATCCTCTGTACTTTCTCCAATATCTCCACATCTACAATTAATAAGAACAGATATTTTCGTGTTAAATGCAATGACGAGAATAATAACGTATTTACGTATTTTCGGTAATCAAGCCAATCCGTCCGTCTTGGCATTTAATCTCAGTGCATTCGCCATCACGATAATACTTTTGATTAGTTTCTAAGGGTACCCCGTCATAGAAACATTTTCCAGGAAATCCTGATTAAGAGTATATACTAAAGATGATCGTTAGTTTATTGATTTCACTTACTTGGATGGGAGGCATAATCTACAAATGTTGCCGTGAATGCAACTGTCATTACACTGGCAAGAATCGTTATAAAAAATATAAAATTCATTTTTCTCTTATTTGTTTAACCGAGTTTGGTTGCGGTACATCCTATTTTATATGCAGTTTGTCCGGTAATGCATATATTCGTGTGTGCACTTTTATAGTTTTTCTCGCTTTTAAAAAATAATTTAACAAATTTTAATCAAGTTACGGACAAATTCTAATTATAATAAAATTAATTAGTTTTCATGAAAATGAAATATTTTTCTATAATTAAAATATGTACTCGCAATCAGTAATTATTTCACTGAAGCTGCAATCACAAAAGTTTTAAATAACTTCATTTTTAAGGAAAGTTCACTTAATTACTTAATTTCGTTTATTATTTAAAAAACCAATACTTTTATATAACAATTAATATATTTATTAATATACTATTTAAGAAGGCAATAAATTTTAACGTTATGTAATATATATTGAAACAAAATATATTATATGAAAAAATATTCAACTGAATGGAGAAAAATAGTAACAATAACAAATTTATTTGCGAATATATTCAGAATAAATGTATACTCTTGTATGTTAAGAACAGCATTAATTTTTTTAAGATAGACATAGAGGTGAAAAACTGGAACACATTTCGCGTACACTAAAAGCAAAAAGTTCAATGCGATCATATCGTATGATAATGGTGATCAGTTGACATCGGAATTTCTGCAGATTCAAAGTTTTACAAAATAAATTGTTTCTGTCACAAGATATGTAGTCCCATTTGGACCAGTATAGTAGGAAAATATCGAAACTATAATATAGAAAAAGCCTTTTGGATTCAATAGTAGTAAAAGACTGTGATTTAAATAAGTTAATAAAAATTTTAACTTTGAATAATACTGTTACTTTCATGGATACATATTACAAACTCACTCAATGTGCAAGAAGGGACAGGGCTTCAATAACAAAGCCTAAACTTAGACTGCAGATACCTGTGGATGCCCAGCACTGATGCACAAACAAAAGAAACACATAGAAGGGTATTTCATGAATCATAAGGACTGACGACTGCGAAAGATAGGCTCTAAACTGTCCTTCATTTAAGAAATTGGACTTATTGAAACACTCTAATCCGACTTGGGGACACAATAGATCTTTCAGGTCGCAGTGCACTATCTCTTTTTGACAATAATAATAATAATAGTTAAAAATACAAAAAAAAAGAAAATAGTGCAAAAATCTTACTATTATTATTATTAAAATACTATTTTGTTATTTTTTATAGTATTATAATTCCTCAATTTGTTATTCCATTTTTTAGTATTATTCAGACGATATTCAAGACTTATTTTAAATTGAGTATGCAGTATTAGTTTAAAATTGACATGTTAATATTTGACTATAGATGTGAAGAACAAGCATAAGAAAAGGACTGCTGTTAAGAACACATAAGCTAAGAATTAGAGAAAATTAATCTCTATGTTTTTTCACTAAAGGGTTGGAGTAGATTAGTGATCAATAGGGTGATATGAGTTTTCTAAGACACCTTAAACAGAAACAGTTCTGCAGCTATTTGCTATTGCTCAATGATCACTTCTAACATTTTCTTTAAATATTAGATTATAATATTTATAATAATTCTGAAAATATGTTCATATAGTCTTGCTAAATATTAATCAGTCAAACCAATGTCTAAATCAGTGAATTGGCTAATTAAATATAAATTAAATTATTTGAAAATTGGCAGTAGTATATGAAAGAAGGATTATCAATTAATCCTACAAAAATCAGCATTTACTAAAAAATGTTTGTAACCGAAACAGCAAAGACCGTTGTCAACTTATCAACAAGAAAAGTCTAAAGTTACTCTCTGGTGCACTAACAGGTCACGCCGCATGCAATAATACAATATAGGCATATCCGACACTAATATTTGCAAAATCTACGGCTATAAGGAAGAGTCTATGGAGCATCTGATCGCCAACTGTTATACACTAGGTCACAAAAGAAACAAAATTTTAGGTGCAGACCAACTAGAGGATAAATGCCGTCAAAAACTCCCTCTGAAGGATCTTGTTCGATTCTTCGAGATACTGAATGTATAAATACAAAGGGGTTGCACAATAGATCAAGCTGGTTGCAGTGCTTAGGGGCTTTAGATGAACCAAAAATCCCCCCATATCATTGACCATTCACTATAGTATAATATGAAATAATTGGTTACTACGGTAATAAAAAGTTTTGATTACGATAGACTCACTAATACTGAGCTATTGAATATGAATTGGATAAAATTTGTATTGAGTCTTAAAGAGTCTTTCTTATACACTGATTGCTTTGTCATAGGAAGTCTTTTAGAGTTTGTTTAGTGTAATATTTCTGGACTAAGAGTTCTTAGTAAAGTACTTTGTTGAATATAAATCAGTATGATAATACATAAACGTGAAATAATTAGTTTTGAACTTTTAATAAACCAACAACTTCCAAAAAGACAAAAGACAAAAAAATGATGCATAAAATAACCCCAAAAAGGCAATATACCAAACAACTCTTTAAAGACTAACTTTCTTTACCAAATAATACCAAAAAGTGCACAAGAACCGTCAAAATGGAACTTAGGTCTTTGTAATTGAATCAGAAAACACTTAGAATTTATTGGCATCCATTAGGATTCATTGTATGATTGAAATGATTGTATTCTGATAAAACTAAAAATAATTTTTTTAGACTCGTAGAAGAGTTTATATACGAGTATGAACAAAATCCTCAAAAATATGAAAGATGCTTTTTATTAAAAGAATCAATACAAGATATGTAATAATATACTCCGTACCTTATATATCCTAATCAAATAATACCAAAAAGTGCACAAGAACCGTCAAAATGGACGGTTTCCAATTCACAATTCGTTGCAATGGAATCAGAAAATAATTAGAATTTATCGTCATTCATTAGAATTCATTTTATGACTCAAGTTATTGTGCGTTAATAAAATGAAAAATTCATTTTAGGGTCGAAGAAGAGTTCATATACGAGTATGGACAAAATCCTCAAAAATATAAAGGATGGTTTTAATTTAAAGAATCCATACAATATATGTATGTAATAATATATTTAATTTTCTTGTATTATAAATTTTGCAGTTGTATATATAAAATAAGTTTTTGCACTACCAAAAAAATTTTATGTGTAATAAAATAATATTGTTTGTATATAATTATATTGAATTATATGTATATAATTCAAATCAGCAATTATATGCATATAAGTTAAATTTTTAATAAAATTTAAAATATTTTGTTTTAAGTTGGTATAAAATATTGTCATTTAATTACTATTTAGATAATTGCTTTTATGTATTATTAATTTATATTAATTAGTTATTACTAAAAAAATAGACTTTGCATACATATTTATTATTATAATAAAGAACAACAAAATATAGAAACCTCTTATTAATTACGTCTCAAAAACAGAATGTTTTAGTTTTCAGATCATTCATAACTTATTATATTTCATTAGTAACATGTTTTTTTATGTTTTTTAAATAAATAAAAAAAAAATCGTGTGTTGTTTCAAACTTACCCCCACCTCAAAAGTCAATTCCACAATTTTTATACAATTGATTCAACAACAGCATGAACGGTTATTCGAAAAATATAGTTATTCCGACACATAACATTAAAAAAAATTCGATATAGTAGTTTTATACACAAAGATTTACTATAACTATATGTATGTACATACTTATGTATATAATATCACAACTCGTTAACCGGGAATTAAAAAATATTAAACTCTATAAAATTATTAAATCATTATATATTAAATATATCACACAACAAAACTGAAAAATATATTCTTTGCAATATTAACTAACACACAATATTTTTTAAAACACATAAAGAAAATATTACTAAATCATAATTATTAAATAGATGATAAAAATTCTACAATTAAAAAGATTTTTTACTCGTATTCCAAATCAAACCCGCACTTAAAATTTGTACAAACAACGCGTGACTTACGACTAAAGTTTCAAATTTTTGATGTTAATTGTTTACCAAACTTAATAATTGTGTCATCGATAACGGTTTATGGAGATAACACCTCATCAAATCTTCTCTTTAACATTCGTCACACTTTACAGTGCATTGTTGCATTTATTAGCAAATTAAAATGTTATTAAAATAGTTAACACTCATACCAAACCTCATACCTCACATAGTTACAAATACAAAAAGTCCATTAAGATTTGTGGGAGTACATAAAACAAGTACAATTTTAAACATTTTCTGCATTTATTTTTTAATGTTAACAATAATGTTATGATCAGTGTAATGTTAAGTTTGTGCTTAAGTTTTTCACTGGTACGAGTATAGAACGTTCCTGTTAGAGACAAAGGTAATAAATAACTCAATGTTTTTTTTAATATTCAAAATGTTTATACAGAGTTTATCTTCAAAATTATTTTAGAAAAATAGACAAAAAAAAGGCCTATTGCCTCAAAAATTACGTGAAATTTGTTACCTGAAGCTATTCTGTTAAGTGTACACTAGACACAGAATTTACACAAGAATTCAGTGCATAATATTCTTTCTCTACATAAACGTACTCATATTTTCGAACTTACAGATGCCAATTTGGCAAATTGAAAAGCTCAGAAAAAAAAATAAAATTGTATTGAAATTAAATAAGATTAAAATGTGATTTTAGTTTAAATTATTAGTCTTAATAGGATCTTAAATTAAATAAATTGCACTGAACGTATCATTTGTTGTTCTGAGATTTATGTACAGAAAAATTTATGTAGTATTAGTGTGTAATATCGTTATAAATCACTCTAAATAAAGTTAGTTATAAATTTTTTAAATCTTATGTTATTTCCGTGATGTTATTATAAGGCAGAATATAGTTGTAGGAACAAATCATAGTGGCATAGATAAAACTAATAACTCCTATAGTTTTTTGTATTGAAGAAAACTTGTATCTAAAGTAGAAATTTAACTTCATCAACTGCACATTGAAATATTTTAACTCCTAACCCGAAATAACCCACGATTATTATACGGTAACATGAATCAGAAAATTAACCTCATATTCATACTAACACGCTAATATATATCTTATTAACAAAAGCTCCGACAAAAATAATTCGAGG